CTCTTCCCACATGGCTTTTTCCAGTAGGAGCCATCTGAATTTCAAAGGCTACAAGCAAAACAGAGAGATACTTCACCATATCTGAAACAAACAAACAAACAAAAGAATCCCAAACCGTAAACAATGCCAGGAGCTTACTACGAAGAAGCAGCAATACTTATACTTTTGTACTCACAGATTAGCTTAATATAACTGGAATCAAGTTCCCAGAAAGTTATAAACAACTTTATTTTGGAAATAACTAGAAACAAATCCTCTCCTGAAAAACATGAATGTAACATAAATGTTCAAACCACTTCTTTATGATTTTCATTAAAGCTATTTGAAATTTTGAGAATGTTGAGCTTTTGTAGCCATAAAGAAAAATTAAATGGCAGATTTTAAGACTAAAGCTAGTTCTAACAGTGTAAGCTGCATCCCGTTCAGGAAAGGACATTCACCAAGCATAGAAATCGAAGGACATAATATCAATCACATTAAAAAAAAAAAAAAGGTTTCTTTACCCACTATGCTCAAGCTTGAATTATGGTCATATGTATGTACTGGAAATCATTTGAGGTCTGGGAACAGATATTTGAGCCACAGTTTTATTTCTAAATTTCAAGTGTCTCAATTTATACTGTACAAAGATGAGAGGGAAGGGTACACAAATTTAATATGTGGGTGCTAACCAACGCCTTGTAAAAGACCTGGAATATTGTATGAAGGAGGAACTTCCAAACCATAGCACTCACATGAGCAGCATTAGAAAAGTGGTATCAAAATGATCTAGGAGATGTGGAGCTACTGCTATTGAAACCAATGGAAGAAGCTGTCACAGAAGTTTGGGAAGATACAGGACATGAAGGACGACTGTACACAAGCGCTGTGCACCTAAAGGAACAATGCTGATTCCTTCACAAAGTGAATTTGCTTCAAACTAGAAGAGCAAAGTTGCTAGACACAATATACATTTCCATATTTTTCATTACAATATATCTTAATCTCTGCTTGCAGCTGTGACATTACTGCTGCTGGAAAATGGAAGGGTGTTTTTGCAAAAAGCTAAGAAATCCTAGTCATCTGACTATCATTTGCTTTTGTAACCAAGTGCTCTGAAGCTGGTTCAAAGACAAAATAGCTTCTAAGTCACTAACTGACCACATGATGCTAGTTGTTTAAATCCTATGATACTTCATTAAAACCTCTTTATAGCAATCTATAAAGAGAAAGATAAGATAAAATAAAAAGAAATTGCAGCAGGCACTCATAGTTTAGCTTGCCTAAAAAGATTCTGAGAAGTGCCAATGAACACTTGCACTGAAAGTGTTCTCCCATTCTGTATAGGAACGCACAGTACGAAAGCTTTCCATTGCTCCGTGGAAATCCTCAGGCAGCATTCCAAACATACTTCACATTCAGTAAGAATTGCCAGTCACACTTTCTCTGCATCCACTCAAATTATCAAAAACCTCAGCGTAAAACCATAGAAACTCATGTAACTTGGAGGCAGCGAGCAGCAGGTGCAAAGCTAGTGCTGAGAAGAAATTCTAACTTCAGATATCAACAGAAATAAGGAATTTTTTTTTTAATTAAATCTGACCACATTAAGAATTTTTTTTCACTGAAGTGTAAAATTCAAGTGACCTTGAAATGACAATCATGCCAAACTCTGCTACTTTCTACATCAACAGTTTCTATGAAGAGAACTATTGGTTTATTCTCTAATACCTTTTGGCATGTTAAAGTGGGAGAAGATACCTGCACTACTCTCATGTACATTCTCTGCAAGTCTCCACGTGAGGATCCATGAATGTGGACACAACAGACCAGACCTCTCAACAAAACTGAACTTTTTGGCTAACTTAGGAAACTCTTCAGACTTACTGTTGGATCTGACCTGTGGCATAGACCTCTACCTAATTCCGATACCAGATGCTTAAGAGGGAAGTGAAAAGAACTCTTACAAAGACCATATAACTTTCAGCCCATCCGAGGCTGCAATCTATTTTGTAACATTTGGAAATTGGCATAAATTCAGAGGCATGAGACTATCAGCTCTTGTTGACATTAACCAGAATCAGGCTGAACAGCACTGTCAGAATTGCTAGCTCAATGCTACACTCCAGACTGCAAGAAAGTCTGATGGCAATAAGTTCAAAAATCTATTTGAGCTATAAAAAAATACATTTTTTTTCATTGTTCTGGATCTGTCACCTTTCAATGTCACTCAATGTGAACGGCCTTTTGAATCATTGTCGAGACAAAAAAATCCTTTGAAAAGCACACTCTAGCCTGTTGTAGATATCAGATTTCAGGACACTTAGACTTAACCTTTAACCTAAGGTCTAGTGTGATATTTGTTTTTAGCTTACCTCAGTATTATTAAACTGCTCCAAAACAAGTTTTAGCCCCCCCTCCTCTCTCTCTCCCCTGCCTCCTCCCCCCCTTTTTTAATAGTGATGTCCCATTGCCATCTATCATTCGGCAGATCAGCACAATAATCATTAAGATGTTCTCACATAAATGTACATTGGTCAAGGATTGCAAGAGATCATTTTTCTATGTGCATAACACCACAGTCACATAGGCTGCTGTTCTTCTAACTCTACTGGAGTATGTACATTATCAATAACTGGAAACAACATATCATGTTAACAAAGAAAATAAAATGTTTAATCAATTGGAAGAATTGACTGGAATCCCCAAGGAAGCTGCTTTTAATGAAACAGAAATTTATATCAGCTCGAAGCCTTGAAGCACAAGTTTTTCCAACATTCACCAATCTTATCATGAAGAAGACCATACTAAAGCTCTCAGTTGGACAAAGCCAACTATGAAATTCTAAGTATTCATACACAAGATAACCGGAATATAAACTACACAGCATGAATTGGAAAAAAAAAATACCATTTTTAAACAATATTGAAAAGCAATAACAAGTTGAAAGTTTAGATGTCTACAATTATCCCAGCCATTTGGATACTACTAGTTATTTCCAAATTTTAAGTCTAACTGCATATCTTTGCAACATTAGAAACTTTTTTTTTTTTTTACAGCAAACAAAAATATGGGACTATTTACAAAATGCCTCTGGGTGTCTTCCAATACACATACACATAAATAAGTCTTTCAACTGTCTGCTAACCACAATTCCTTTCATTTCAATACCTTCCCATGAGTTCACTAAGTCCTCAAAAGTCAGGTGGCTGGGCAGCTTCTTTCTCTCAAAGCTACTCCTACAAGCTACCTCCTTTTTAGAACTCTACATTTCTTGACAGTAACATTGATAAGACACACAAGTTATTTTATTCTAACCCATCTGCTCTACTATTAAAACTCAAAAGCTTTTAAGGCCAGCTATGTGATGATTTTCCAAATATCTGCACCACTTTTTCTCTCAAAAGCTACACTAACCCAGTGTATTTACTGCTCCCCAACTCCAGATCCCAAAATGGTTAGCCAAAGACTGCAGGCACTTGGTAAACGTGCCAACATTAATTACAGGAAACACTGTATTAGTTGTGCATGATCTGTGAAACTCAGACCTATCCTTGGATGACTTGGCCATTCTAATGCATCAGCAGAAAAAAACATGCTGGCTCCTGACACCCCATTTTTGACAATTTTTAGATTTAAATGTAGTACACATAGCATAACACCCAAACTCTTTCTCCTAGCAGCATACGACTTATCTCTTGACAGTATGCACTAAAGAAGGCACAAGAAACCCCGAGACAGCTAAAAGTTAAGGCTGAATTTCCCATCCCTCACATTTCTTCCACATTTGGCACACGCGTGACCTTCACAGGAAGGCTGAGGCTCGATAAAGTACGTGAGCGGGACCCGGGTACCATCGGTCCCGGCATCCCATCTGGCTGAGGCCCCCGGCTGCCCCGCTCCTACAGCCTCCCCTACGCAGGGTACACAAAACAAGAAGCGATGCCAAACGCCCTCCCCGGCCGCCCAGTTTCCCTGGCGACGCGCACCGGCAAGGGCCGCGCCGCGATGCATCCCCACCCAGCCCCGG